CTCGACCTTCTGAATTAACAGCTCTATTGTCTTCTCCGTAACGTATTCCCTATCTTTGTCATCACTTTATGCCTCATTACGTTAACCGGGCGTATCTGGTAAATCTTTAAACTAAATTAATTGCTACTCCAAGATTCAGAATTGCTTCATGATTCAAAAAAAACAAAACAAAACAAAACCACCACCACCCCAGGAAAAAAAAAAAACAAACAACCAAACAAGAAAAAAGGGGAAAAACCCCAACCCCATAATGTTTACTGTATTTGTAAAGCAAGTGCAAAGCAAAGCCTACTGAAAGTTTTAGAGCACGAACTGGTAAAATATCCTCCAGCATACATGTTACAATGTATTTTTATCTCCTTGTCTTTTCTTCCAAGCAAACCACCCGACACTCCGTCCCGGCTCTTCTCAGAAAAGACAGTATCATCTCCTTAAACTCTTAAGGGAAAAGCAAGTACTCTGCTTGATATTTGCCAGGCACAAACACCACAACCAGAGGCGACGATACGAGATCTTTCTTTTGCTACTGACATCTTGTGGAACTTCAAAATTCTTCACAGTCTGTCAATCAAAAGATTAAAAAGGATACAAATTTAGATCAGGCCTCCAATTAAAATCAGACTCTGACCCATCCCACCATGTCATGGGACCCCGTGAACCTCAACAATAAGCCATTTCCCAGAATTTAATTGTGGTTTGGTGACTCAGTGACACACAAGTGCTCTTGAAGTAAACAGTTGAGTGTTTTAAATAAAAATTCTGCCCCTCCTGTAAATGATTAGTTACTAATCCTAAAATTATTGTTTTTGCACCAATCTATTAAAAAGGAGGAAAAAAAAAGGGAGACATAACAAAGTTCTTCAATGAATTCTGTATAAAGAGAAAAATTCTAGCTATCCTGGGAGCTTTGCCATTTTCCCTGATGAGACCAGGACTTGGCACGAAGGCAGCTGTCACTTGTGTAAAAAAACTAATTATGACATGACTGTAGGAAAAGATAGTCTTTTGTTTAAAGCATTATACTAATGTATCTGGCTTTGGCACAGTCTTCCTGTGTCCCACAGTTTAAAATGGAGAGCGTCCATCCTCTTTTTCTCCTCTTATCTGTCTAGAAAATAAGCTTACCGGAGCAGGTCTTGGTGTTGCTGCGTGAATGTACAGCATCTTGCCCATCTAGCATCTCCACTAGGTCGATTTAGCAACTACCAAAAGATACACAGTAATTGAGCCCGTTTGTAATACCTGCTTTGTACCTGATGGCGATTTTAATAATCTTTCCAAATGTATCGGAAATGGTTTCGAAAGGATGCTTTTATCCTGCACTTTATATGCCAGAAGTAATTTCCTATTTTTCCTTCCAGGCAAATGGACAGACATGTTGTGAAAGTGCAGCGCTATTTAACCCATTCTGGCACCCCAAACCTTGACTATCTTCTGAAGGCCCAGCACGGTTGTTACTTTACATGAGCAACAAGAGTAAGTGGTGTCTACATGAATTATAGGAAGTTCCTCTTCAAGGCATAGATGCTGAAGATGCTGGAGAAAATCAGATTCTTTTTCAGAGTCTACAACTAAAAAGTACACGAACAGGCACAAATGGGAAGGATGCAGATGAATCACAGGCGAGGCCCCACCATATCAGGCCAGTAATGTCTGGGAGTCTTCACGGACATTGCAGCATGAGTTCCTTTCTTGCCAAAAGCGACACAATTTTTATGTTTAAGCTTTGCTAACATCACAGGGAGCAGGCTTCATTACATTATCTTTTGCGTGTTGAGCACTCATTTGCCCACAAAGAGCTAGCCGAGGTCTCATGGCTCTGAGTCACAAGCCCTGAGCACGCAGCACAAACTTCAGAGGTTGCTATTTCACATCCCGCATGATCTCCCCGCCAGAGACCCGAGGCAGCAGACCGGGTGACGTGCTCTTTCTCCATCACTCGAGTTCAACCTCACTTTTTCTTTTTTTTTTTTTAACAAGGTAGTCCTCACATTCATACTGGATACCTCAAACAAAAGCAGCAAAATGCTCCTTCCATTCTGATACTGAGTTGTGTTTCAGATCCACAGCCCTGCACCAGGAAAAGAATATCCCTATTCTGCCCCAAATAAAAAAAGACATCTTTGGGATCTTTATCTCCTCTAGCCTGAAAAGGTGATGTTTGGAATTAATTCTCAGGCTTTGGTCTCCAAACTAGAAACACTGTCAAGCCATATTGCCAATTACTGCACTTACTTTCTTTTCCCATAATGAAAGGCGATTAACCAATTAACATTAATCAATGTGGTTAAGCGTTCTCCCACTCTCACCAAGTGCCTCCTCCTTCACACAAATGCATCGGATTAACCAATGGGTATATGCAAGGGTTGCACTGCTCTGGGGATGAGGGTGCTTTTGACCTTATTCTGTTGCTTCAGGTTTAGATGGTGGCTGCCAGTCTCCCCTAGGCCAGGGGCTCAGTAATTTTGTGGGTTTAATCCCAGTCCCTGTCCGCATCATGAACCACATGCTTCCTGGTGAGCCTCAGGCTTCCCTTCCCACTCATCAAGTGGCTGCCTCAGGCAGCATGGGGGGGACCAGCACTGCTGCCTCCTGTCCCTTCTCAAGGTGGGAAAAGGGATTTCGCACCTTTCAGACGCACTGGCAAGCCACCCGGCTCCTTGCCCTTCACCGATTGTCCCTTGACATCCCCTTTTAAAAGCCAGAGGGGAGGGCCACAGGGTGACCTGGCTTATCCGCACAAGTCCCTCCTGTGACCCTACCTGCAACACCTCGTATCTCTGGCTCATCCCTGGCAACCTTATACAACACTCTTACACAACGCTTGCTGGGAGCTGGGCTGCCGCCAGGGAGAGAAGCCTTGTGCTGAGAAGA